AATTGAAAAATCATTTGAATATCCTAAAAGACAGAACAGACAAAGCAGGCATTTCAGAATATCAAGTGATATCTGCGAAAAAAGGTACTATGGACCATGATTCAATAATACAAGGTTGAATAACCTGGCAGTTGTCTCGCTCCCGCATTCTGGCGGGCACAAGTGCAGCCGTTGCAAGTAAGTTTTGCCTGCTAGGATCTCTGTGTGATCGTCCACGTTTGGCTGGTGCAGTCCACTGGGAATTACAGCTGCAGCGATTTATTTGGTGAAGTGCAGCCGTTGCATACTTACAAGTAAGTATACCACCCCATAAAAGTGAAAGTGTAAATATCAATAAAGCTTTTTTCTTGTGCAGGTCAGAATCACTTTGTGTGTCCGTTTACGTTTGCTGGTGCAGGTATTTTCACCACTGCAACCTTTGGTTTGGTCGAGTGCAGCCTTTGCATACTTACAAGTAAGTATCGCGCCCTATAAAAGTAAATGTGCAAATATTAATAAAGATCTTTTCTTGTGCTGGTGAGGATCATTTTTGTGTCCGTCCACGTTCGCTGGTGGGGGTATTTTCACCACTGCAGCCTTTGGTCAAGTGGAGAATTTGCGTACTTAGAAGTTAGTATACTACCCCATAAAAGTGAAAGTGCATATATCAATAACGAGTTTTTCTTGTGCAGGTCAGGATCATTTGTGTGTCCGTCCACTAAATGTAATTCAATTTAAGATATTGAACATGTAATTTTTAAATGCAACAAATAAAATAATTTTTTAAAAGATCAATTTGTATATTATATATCAATTGCTTTTTTACTATTTGTATATTTCTTCATATCGCACACCGTCTTCAAAAAGTCACAACTCAAAATAATAAGTTTGTCAGAAAATGCGAGAAACTATTTCTTAGCACATGATAGTCATATGGGCTAGGGCGACTTTACCTTAGGTTTTTTTTTAACAAATTATAAAAAAAAATTGCTCCAGCTTTTGCTGACAGGCAAATAAAAGCTCTGTCTACATTTTAGCACATAATCTCAAAAATTCCCAATTTTGAGTTGTGACTCTTTTGAAGGCGGTTTGCGATGTTGTCCCTTTGAATAAAGGATTTGTTTGAATTCCATTAATTTTGTTTAATATATACTGAAATTTTAACGAAACCATGGTTTATTTTGAATATCTGGGAATATTTGTCGATATGAATTTTCTTGGTTAGAATTTTATGTAAATTATTTCAATGTATAAAGCTAAGTACGGAATTTTTAAGAAAATGGTCAAGTAATAAGCTGCTATTATTTCGCGTGTGTGAATAGTAGTGCCAAAGAAGTTTTGACATCTATATACAACCTGCTGTCTCATCTTTTTCTTCCGAAATAATGGAAATTTCTATTAAAACAAGGGTGCCTTGTACCCTTCACAAACAAACTTTAGCAAACCGTAGTAGAAAGCGTAGCAAATTTCTTAGGAACTTCGTACTGCTTAAGAAAATTTGGCTCAATAAGTTTTTATTGACCATTTCTTTACCGTTTTTTTTTATTCGTCGAACTAAGGAAATGTTTACAAATAATAACACAAAAACAGATTTGGGAAGGCATTGTGTTATTAAAGATATTAAAAACAATTTATCTCAAATGGGGAATAACGAATATTAAAAAAAATTAAAGCGGCCAGAGCAAATCTCTATTATTTGAGAATATCAAGCAACACTTGATTATCCGTTTTAATTTTTCAATACTTGAAATACTTAAATTGAATAAAAAATCCAACATTAAACTATACTTAAATTTTGTTGTTTTGCAAGCATATTTACCAAGTTTTAGTGCTTATCTAAACGCTTAAAATAGATTGTTTCTTGCTTATTTTCTTCGGCCCTGGCTATTAAAACATGTACACGACGAAAGAAAACTTAACGCCTACGAAAGCATGTATATTTGTAGTGACACATCGGCGATGAGTCTAGTCAAGGGGAACATTGAACCCGACTTGTTGTGTTTGCGCCGACGGCAGCCGCATTAGTTAAACAGCCCTATTATGGATTCCATCGGAATCCCGAAGTGGCAACGACGGGAAAATGCTATTAACAAATACGACGTGATCACGAAATACTCCAGCAAATTTCGAGATTCGAGAGATTGACATTTTTGATTCCGAGTGAAACGCAAGTTGGGCAGTTTTTCGTGAAAATACTATACGAACGCTTTTATTTATTGGAAGAAGTAATAAATAAACTGAAACCTACCAACTAATACAAAAACAAAAACAAATAGCCAAATAAGTAACTAAGTGGATATTTTACATTGAAGGAAATAAAAATGTAAGAAGTATTTATTAATGTTGGTAGAGCAAAAAATAAAAATATATTTTTCAACAGATCAAGGCCATTTAAAAAACGAATCTTTTCCTAGAACCCAAGCAGGAATTTGAGGAGAAATGCGCTTTCATAACAGGGTAGTGTTAAACCGATATGATACTGATAGAATATTTATGTTGGACCGTCCTATCAACTGAAGGAGCAGGCTCTTATCTCCTTTGTTTATTTATTTATTCATTTAAGTATAGATGGAAATTAATCACGTATAGGTTGATATTTTTCTTTACTAATGTACCTTAAGATGCAAAATAGAAATGAACTTCAATAATTTGTTTACAAAGCCCTAATAATACGTTGCCTTATTTGCATTGCTTCATAAGATAATTCCAAAATAATTTGCTCAGTATAACCTACAGCTGTTTCGACTGTTTTATGGCTTAGCCCTTAAACGTCTTGTACCACATCCAATACCTATTTCAACGCATTCTAATTTAAACGACAGTTGTTTAACAAACTACAAAATAAGATATTAATTGAATATCTGAATTTTATTACAGAAACTGACGCATTATCGTTATAACTGAAAGGTTGCGAGCAACCCGTGAACTCTTCTGATCAAACTTTAAACACCCCTTCTCTACTAAAAACGATGTCATCGCAATGAAATCCACTTTACTTTATTGAAATACTTCATTTTAAACTGCTCCTGTGGAAAAATCTGAATTTTTGTCCATTGCTACCAACAAAATAAGCAAAAAGCATCTGATTTCATTCAAAAATTTGGTAGCACCGATTCGAACTTAGTGCGCATTTTTGGCAACACTAACACGAAAACGTCGAAATTGCGAATAGTATTTTTCTCGAATTCGTGACGGGAGTTCCAGGCGCCCTAGATGAACGTATGCGGCTAGGTCTTAGCGATCAGGCTGCAGGCGATACGTGAGGTACCTAGAACAGGGGAAGACCCCCGAAGAGGCACGGAAACTGACACTTACCAGAACCAACCCCAAAGAAGACAGCAAGACCAATGATGATCAATGGCGTAAGCAGACCGCACCCGCGGACAAGCGGAAGAACGGGCATCACAGCCAGCAGATCGGGCATGATGAAAAATCGCGCAGTAAGACCGCACCCGCCGAAGAGCGGCCATCACGATGAAGAAACGCCCGGTCTGACCGCACCCGCCGATGAGCGGGCATCAAACTGGTAGAGCTACAGAGCCCGCACCACCTGAGAAGCGAGGTATCGGGCATCACAGAACCGTTGAGAAAAGCGGGAACCATCGCAGAGAGGAAAGACGCAGGGCAACACAGAAAAGGATGGGGGTATCGAGACCGCATCCGCTGTAAAGCGAAAGAGCGGACATATAACACCCCAAACTCCCAATCCAAAGAAACAGAGGGCGCTTGCACCCCTTTCAACATCGGGAACCGGGGGTAGGCACGTCGAGCAAGCAGCTTCGCGGTAGGGTGATGGACAGACGCATAACTACTCCGATGCTCTAAGGGGCGTCAGGCTGGCTGTGTTGCCCCAAAGCTACCCCGCGGAAGCCCAGATAAGCTCACTACCCTGCAGGACCCCATTATGGACGAAGTTTAAAGGGGTGGACGGATCCGCTGGCTTTCTGCGGAGTCTCCTCCCAACCAGGTATGCTCCTTGTGGACTGCAAGGACGAGATCACCGCAAAAGACGACGGCTCCCAAACTTCTGAGATGCTTCAAATTAGACGCAGATGTGCCAAATGAGTGTTCGGCATGCGAAGAGACACCCCACGACTCGAAACATGCCCCCTGTGGGCCGACCCTGTTGAGGCTGCACGCTTCTTGGGGCTCCCGTTAGTGGAGCTTGACGACAACGACTGAGATATTAACCCATCTGGGCGGGGTTGTTGTAGCCGCTACAACAACAACAACAACAACCACAACAACGGCTTTCGAACTAGGGAGTTGGAAGGGACCCACATTGTGCTCAAAAACGCGGGATGATATACCGCCTATGCACAATATGACGGTCTTCCTTTCGAGAAGCGCTGAAATATCGTCAGATTATGCTATAGGGCGGCTTAGGACTCAAAACCAGGGACTTAACACCACGGCGTGGGCGTCATCTCCAGCAGCATCGCGGACACCGGCCTACGATTGAATGTAGGCATAGATGAGGACTCGCATAATAGCGTCAGGAAAGCAGGTTACAGCGGGCCAACCTAACCCTCCCTCGGAACCCCAAAGCACCCATATGCGAGACGTAGCGGATCTTCCACAGGAACAGATCCCCTCCACACAAGAGCTGCTTGAGAGACTTGACCTTAAAGGGCTTGAGCTCGACAGATCAACCTGCACCATGCGATTGCAGCCTCGGCCGTAATTGCTAGCAGGTTTTCTACGGACGATCTGGTCATTATACTTATTCAAGAGCCGTGGACTTACATAGGCCAGG